ATAATAAGCTAAAATGTGAATCTAAAACTCATTAAAAATATGAAATATCACTAGTATGCAATAGAACTCCTAGAACCGGTGATGTAAATGCTTTGTCCCTTACTGCACAAGGGAAATTACAAGTTTGGAAGCTTGATCAGGGTATTATATATTTGTTATCTCTGGTACTTAGTTTAATTTGTTCTTACAAGCCTATCTGTTTGTTTCTTCTAGGTCCTCTAAAACTTCCGCAAGAAGAATGTGAGTGCTAGTGGAAAATCTGCTTTGGATATGTACATGGAAGAACCACCGGTGGACATGAAGCATTGATTTGTGCTCGTAAGTTACCTTCATTTATTTACTCTGGTTGTGGACTGAAACTGGCATACCTTCATTTATGTTATGATGGTTTTGGACAGAAACTGAGGTGGTCGATTATGGTGATATTCAAGATGAGAGCTTGCCTACGCCTGAGACGTTTGCATTGACGCATAATGGTGTAAGTGATATTTATTTAGTCATTTGCCTTCATTTCATTTATTTGATTTTCATTTACTAAACTATTTCACCATTTAGGGAAGCTGAAACACTTGAGGTTGTGGCAAGAAAAAGAAAGAAGACCTCTATGTAATTTGTTTTTAAGTTTGATTTCAGTTTGGACAAGGACTTTTTGTTTGTGTTTGTTAAGAAATAAACTCATGGTTTGGTGTTTGTTGCAACTTAAACTTGTCTGGAACTTAAAATTTCGGCTTAGTTTTATACTTTTATGTGTGTATCATGTTAATTTTTGTGATTTAATTTGATTTTTTTTTTTAATTCTGGCGGATAACCCGCTTGTTTAATGCGGTGTGAGAGCGTCCAACTCTAAGTGGTCTCTTTAACAGATCACTTGCTAAAATTTTATTAAATTTGATTTAGTAAATATTTGAAACTATATAATATAAAATGACATGATATAACATGGTGTATGATATATGTAACTCATCTTAATAATTGATATGTAGATTCATTATTAAGCATAAGATATGGTGTGTAATGTATATTGTACCATAAACCTAATATTTGAAACTATATAATATAAGATAACATGATAAAACATGTTGTATGATAGATGTCAACTCATCATAATAATTGATGTGTAGGTTCATTATTTAGCATAAGATATGGTGTGTAATGTTACTGCATAATAAACATAAAATCTGATGATAAAATACTTTTAGAGAGAAGTTGTTTTACATGAAATGAGAAGTGGTGATAGGAAGTATTTAAAATATTTTAATGTTAGAATAACTAATGGTAAAAAATAGTTATACCTATGTCCAACAACATTTTTATAGTAGAATGATTCTTTATAATATTATCAAAATAATAAATAGTTTTTTTGCAGCGGAAGGTCTCGCAACGCGAGAAGCAATCCTCAAATACAGGGGCTTGGGTCTCTCTCGGGTTCCGTGTGTATATGATTCAGCTTCCTTGATTAAAGTCTTAAACTCATAAGGCTGATATTTTATCTTTGTCTTTTTCTTTGGATTCCTCGAGAGAGAAATCATGTGGCGGATGTCCTAGCAAAACAGGTATTGTCTAATGAGCTAACCTTCAATGTTCCAACAAACTTTGATTAAGTGTATTTAATGAAGTTGTGTTTAAAAAAAATAGTTTTTTTTGCTGTTTTGTCTTTTAGAAAACAATAAATGTTGAACTGGAAGTTGGGTTAACTTTTAGACGAGATATTATATTATTATTATGGTTGTTTTATTCGGTAAAAATTTATGGTTTTTGTTATTGTTATTTTTTTGGAAGAATGATTTGTTCTTATTTAATTAACATATATTATTATGTTACATGTTTTGAATGATAGATCCGGATTCAAAAGGAATCAAGCCAAACCTTCTAGAAAATTTTAAATATATAATTAGTTCTAAATATTTAGGATTCAAAGGACCCGGATCTGAAAGAAATCGATCTATACCAAATCCAAAGATCCAATGCACATGCTTACTCACTCTCTCTCATTATATTTTGTGTATATTTTATAAGAGTTACATTTATTATTTAGTAGATACTTGGTTAAATTATTAGTATAGATTTATAGGATATTAATATAGTTTAAACTTATACTCTGTTTCATAATGTTATATATTTTAGAAACAATCTATGTTTCAAAAGATACATTTTTACATTTTCAAAATATAGTTTGTCAAATAATAATGATTAATTACAATTTTCAAAAAACTTAATTACATTTATTAGATTTTCATTGGATTAGATTTATAGGAAAATGATAATCACAACAAATCATCCATTTATTATGTGTTTTATTAATATGTGTGAAAAAATTAAAACATGCAACAAATTGAAACGGAGAGAGTATTAAATAAAAAAATATATTAATAAACACTTTTGTAAAATTTAATTAATGTAATATATATAATTTTGTCTTATAAGAATGTTTTGATAAAGTGATTTATTAAATTTATTTTGTAAATACTTAAAACTATATACTATAAGATGGCAGCATATAACATGTGGTACCCTAGATGTCAACTCATCTTAATAATTCATGTGTAGGTTCATTATTGAGCATAAGATATGGTGTTAGTGTTATTGCACATTAAACATAATCTTTGAAACTATATAATATAAGAGGATATGATATAACATGTTCTATGCTAGATGTCAACTCTCCTTAATAATTGATGTGTATGTTCAATATTTAGCATAAAATATGGTCTGTAATTTATTGCATAATAAACATAATGTTGGATGATTAAATACTTTTAGAGAGAAGTTGGACTACATGAAATGAAGATTATCAATAGGATTCATTTAAAATATTTTATTTTTAGATAGTTAGTGTTAAAAATAGTTATGCATATGTCCAACAACATATTTATAGTAGATTTTTAGAATATTTTTATAATATAGAAATAATAAATAATTTTCACTGTCTTGTCTTTTAGAAAAAATAAGTTTGGAAATTGGTGTTGACTTTTAGTCGAGTTATTATATTATTATGGGGCATTTTCCGGTAAAATGTTATTTTTGTTGTTGTTGTTATTGTTATTCTTTGTAAGGGATGTTTGTTGTTATTTTGTTAAATATGTATTAGATTTTGAAAGCACCAGTTGTTATGGAGCATAAACAAATTTCCGTATGAAATCATATTTTGTGATTGCCATATATTATTATGATGCATGTGAATGATAGACCCGAACTTAAAAGGAATCAAGACGAACCCAAACCATATATTTTCAAATACCTAATTAGTTTCAAATTTCTAGGACGCAAAGAACTCATACCTGAAATGAAACCGATCTGTATTCAACCAGAAGATCCAATGCCCATGCTTAGTATCTCCCTCTCTCATTTATTTTTGTGTGCATTTTATAAGAGTTGCATGTGTTAAGTTAGTGAGACTTGACATTTACTTGGTTGATTTGTGGTTAATGTATTAGTATAGATTATAGGGTTCTTAAAAAATTAAGCTTATATTAAATAACAAATTTTATTATAAACATTTTTTATAAAAATAAATTTAATGTAATTTATATTTTTTCTTTAGCATATATGTTATTAAAGTCATTTTATTAAAATATTATTTTGTAAATATTTGAAACTATATAATATAAGATGACATGATATAACATGTTGTATGTAGATGTCAACTCATCTTAATAATTAATGCATAGGTTTATTATAGAGCATAAGATATGATGTGTAATGTTATTGCATAATAAACATTATATTTGAACCTATATAATAAAGATGACATGCTATAACATGCAGTATGATATAGATGTCAATTCTTCTTAATAATTTATGTGTAGGTTTATTATTAATCTTAAGATACAGTGTATAATGTTATTGCATAATAAAAATAATGTTAGATGGTAAAATACTTATAGAGAGAAGTTGTATTATATGAAATGAGGAATAGTAATAAGAATCATTAAAAATATTTTATTTTTAAAATAATTAATGGTAAAAAAATTGTTATACATATATCTAACAACATTTTTATAATATAGTTTTCGAATGATTCTTTTTAATAGTAAGAAAATAATAAATAGTTTTTGCTCTGTTGTCTTTTAAAAAACAATAAGTGGAAGTTGGTGTTGACTTTTAATCGATATTATATTATTATGGTTTTTTCAGTAGAGTATTAAGGTTGTTGTTATTTTTATTTTATTTTTGAAATGGCTGTTTGTTGTTATTTTGTTAAAGAGATACTAAATTTTGAAAGTGCCAATTATTATATAGTATAAATAAATTTTGATATGAAATAATATTTTGTGATTGTCATGTGTTATTATATTACATGTATTTGAATGATAGATCCAAACTCAAAATGAATCTCGAATCCAAATTAGAATTTTAAAATATCTAATTAGTTTCAAATGTCTAGGATTCAAAGGATCCAGACCTAAAATGAACTGATTTGTATCCAATCCGAAGATCTGATATCTAAGCTTACTCGATTTATTACTTCTGCTCATAAGGCTTTCAGACCTCATCCGCTTATGATATTTTGTGTGCATTTGATAAGAGGTGCATTTGTTAAGTTAGTGAGACTTAAATTTATTTAGTATATTTTGGAAAATTTATTAGTATAGATTTATAGGGTTTTTAATAGTTTTTAAACTTTATTAAATAACAAAGCTTTCTTATAAACATTTTTATAAAATAATTTAATGTCATATATATAAAAAAATTTCTCTAGCAGATGGTTTGCTAAAGTGATTGTATTGAATTTGGTTTTGTAAATAGTTGAAACAATATAATATAAGGTAACATGATATAACATGTGGAATGATAAATGTCAACTCATCTTAATAATTGATGTGTAGACTCATAATTGAGCATAAAATATAATGTGTGATATTACTGCATGATAAAATAATTTTAGAGAAAAGTGGTATTACATGAAATGAGAAGCAATGCAGTCCATGTCAAAATATATCACAGTGTCGATATAAATAGGTGCAGATTGCTTGACGACTTTCATATCTCTTCTCCAATTCATTTTACGTAAATTCTCCAACCAATTGTTTTTTTTTTTGGAGCAAATGGATTCTCTACAAATTTCCGGAGGTTCTTCGAACGACGAAGAAGATATGTTACTAGCCATGCAAATTTCCGGCATAGAACTCATCGCTTACGCTGTAAAAACTGCAAGAGAGTTAAATTTGCTAGAGATTATGGCTAAAGCTAGCCCCTTAGAGACCCATATTTCAACATTGGACTTGGCTTCCAAGGCTGCACCAAATAATCCAGATGCTCCGGTGATGATTGATCGATTGCTACGCTTCCTTAGTGCGTATTCGGTGTGCACATGTAAGCTAGTGAAGAACGAAGAAGGAAAAGAGTCAAGGACTTACGGACTAGGAAGAGTTGGAAAGAAGTTCATTAGGAATGAACATGGAATGTCTATTGCGCCCTATGTGCTTTTCCCCTATTTACACACCAAGGATGTTACATGGTATGATCGGATATACTGGAGACATTTTTAAATGTCATAAAATTCATTATTCTGTATTAAACCAATATATATTTCTAACCAAATAAATACTATAAAAATTATTACTATGATAAGATATTTCTATGGTATTAATATAAAATAGGATACTCATGTATAATAAAAAAAAATAATAATAATAAATAAAGATTTTGGTGATTTTTTTTTAATACAAGTTTCTTTGCACGAAAAGGTCTTACCTCACGGCGTCGATACTAGAAGGCGGAGCATGTGCATGGGAGAGAGCTAAGGGGGCATTGGTATTTGAATACATGAAGAAAAGTGAGAGTTTCATGGCAGATTTCAACGGGTTTTTGATGAGTCATACGACAATAGTCATGAACAAGGTATTAGAGAAATACGATGGCTTTGAAAGTATGAAGGATTGCACGTTGGTAGATGTAGGAGGTGGGCTAGGCATTAATCTTGCCCAAGCACTCTCCAAGTTCCCACATCTTAAATGTGTCAACTTTGACTTGCCTCACATCGTCTCAGCAGCTCCCCTAATTCCTGGTAAACTTTATTGTGTCTTTTTCTTGTTTTTACTCTTTAGTTGTGGTAAGTTAGGTTTCACAGCTTCAATGATTCTTAAGATTGATATTATTCAAAGGGTAAATTAGTGAGATTGAGGATAACCTTTCAACTTGTGTCTAGTTGATTCTTGGAAACATCTTATAAAACAAAAAAAATGTTGAGGGAGTATCGTTTACATGTATTATAAAAGTAATAAAACGTTAGTGGTCCTTCATCAAATTAACCATCATGTAGAGTGCCTAGTTAGTTGAATAAAGTGATTAAAATAAATTATTTCCAGGAGTGGAACATATTGGTGGCGATATGTTTGAAGAAATTCCACGAGGCCAAGCCATAATGATGAAGGTATATAAAATTTAATTTCGTCTCTGTAATTAAAATTTTCAAAATATATAACTATCTATGGTGATATAATAATGGACCTATCTACTTCACAATACTTACATGAAAAGTGGGTACTTCTCTAATACTTAGTCAAATTTCGTTTTGATTTTTACATGATTAAGTGGATACTTCATGATTGGAGTGACGAAAAATGTGTGGAGATATTAAGAAACTGTAAGAAAGCATTACCAGAAAATGGAAGGGTAATCGTAATCGAAACGATAGTCCCAGGGGAAATATCTGACACAGATATTGCAACCAAGAACGCACTGCGTTTAGATATGACGATGATGTGTTTAACGCGTGGGGGCAAAGAGAGAACCAAAGAGGAGTTTGAAGTATTAGCTATGCAAGCTGGATTTAAGATCCCAAAGTTTACTTATGGTGCTTATTCTTTTTGGGTCATTGAATTATACCCAAATTAATTTACAACTTTTTTACTTTTAATATGTTATTATTGTTAAATAAACATTCTAGTCTCTTTCGAGCGTGGAATATTGATTGTTGTTGAATCTCTTTCTTTAATTTATATGTGATTTGAGTTATGTATGTGATTTGCATTTTACAATACAATACATTTTGAATAAGTTTTTAACTTCTACAAAATCAAACTTTATCTTCCTCCTTTAGAACCTGAACGTCATCATTTTCTGTGGATGCAACTTCTACAGTTTCCGCTGCCTCAGTTTCTACATTTTCTGTGGTCAAAAGTTCTTGAGCTTCTGATTCTGCTGTTACCGGAGTTTCTATATCCGGCTTTGGTTCTTCAACCTTAGAAGGTGGAGTGTCGACGTCACCAGAATCAACTTTATCTTCCATACTTCTTTCCTCTTCGGCCACCGTCTCAATATCAACTTTTTCTGCTATTGAAATCCCGAAAAAGAAACATATGCGTCAATGTTTTCTACACAACTCTTAAAAGAAAGTTATATATATTAGATATCTATTTTCTATCAAAAATTTCATAAAAATACTTCAACTAAATTTTGTTAAACTTTTTAATATCCAAATTTTTCGCTATCCAATTTTATATTTAACTAATTATTTTCTCATTTTAATACGCAAATTTTAATACGCAAACGTTTATACTTGTGTCCATTTTGATACCTAAATTTTGTTTATTTTAGTTAATAATATTAATAAATTTAAATGAAATGTAAAAAAATTTCTAAAATCTAAGAAAAGTAACTGTTTTATTCAACAGAAAAACATCAACATTTATTTTACAACTTGAATATATGTACTTTGTTGTGAACAAAAGAAAAAGTATATAGGTTCTTTGTTTAATATTGTCATTCTTTTTGCTCAAAATTGTCAAAAAAAAAAAACAAGAACAAAGAAATCATGCAGTGGAAATTTTATTCATTATTTGCATACCTTTTTGTTCATCCACAGGCAAAGCGCTCTCGTTAACCTCGTTAAGAGTTTCCTCCGTCACAATATTTTGGGGCACCGATGGCAAAGTGATGACTTCCTTTTCCTCCAGGTTTTGTTTATTATTGGTCTCTTCTGCTACCTTCTCACCACAATCTTCTCCAGCTTCTTTCTCCTCCGGTTCATTGGTATTGTTTTCCACGGTGGTTTCTGGCCGGTTCATAGAAACAACAGCTGAGACTTCGTTGGTTTTCTGGCACGTGCATTTTTCTTGTCTTTTAATTGACTCGTTCTCTTTTTTTCCCTTTACTGACTCAGCTTCCGAAGGTTTCTTGACCGTCGTGGTGTTTCCCGTGACAACATCATGTTTTGATTTTCCACAACCCATTTTTTTTTGTATTTTTTTTCTAAATAAAACCAATTTTTTTCTGAAGAGAAATCAAAGGATTGATAGATAGAAGAAATAAGAAGCTTTTAGATGGATTTTTATTGAAGGAGATTAATGGAACGATAAACCAATTCAGCTGTTTTTTTTTTCGTTGTCATTAACTTTTGTTAGAAAAGGTTATTTTGTTTGTTTTACTTATATTGCTCGGTGTTCAACAAATAAATAATTAAAAAAATTAGGTTTCTTTTTTTCTATTAATAGAATATAAAGGTTATGTTTAGTTAGAGAGACACGAGGGCTCTATACTAAAAAGTAAAAACATTTAGGAGAAAATAGAAAGTAACCTCTAAAACAAATGTTTTTTTTTTCTTTTATCATTACAACGAAATTTGAATTGAAACTAAAAGGTTTTGTATTTGATTTGAAAGAGAGAGACGTATGTATGGTTGGTATACCTAGTAATTACTTGAATAATGTAGATGAACGAAAAACGGTATAACTTATATCATTTGAGTGAATTAGATGGTATTTACTTAAATATATAAAGTTGGGTTCGATAGGTAAGAAAAATAACATGTGAATGAATGTTTTGGTATTAGAGAATATGTGAAAGTGAAGAAACTAAGCGGATTTGAGTGAATTAGATGGTATTTACTTAAATATATAAAGTTGGGTTCGATAGGTAAGAAAAATAACATGTGAATGANATGTTTTGGTATTAGAGAATATGTGAAAGTGAAGAAACTAAGCGGAGTTTATGAGCGGATGTAAGTGCTAAGTGAAACAATTTGAAATGTGTTTAGATGTATAAATAAATATTTTTTAAATCTGAATGTAAAAATTTAAAATATAATTAAATTGAAACGGAGAGAGTATTATATTGCCTTATTAGAAATAAGATATCAATTGAATAGTAATAATGATGTCTACTTGGCTTGGCATGGCTTTGAGTTTGTGGCGCGAGAGATACTTAAGCTTTACCAATTGTCATTCTCTAAACCACAATAAACCATGCAAAAAACTAAAGCAAGATATTGTTAAATGTTCAAACAAGTACCCTCTAACTTCTTAATATCTAAATAATAACGAGAATTATATTAGTGTTTTAGTCTTCTTCAGCGAAGGCTGCATCATCTTGATCACCATCTCCAAAGTCATTATCATCATCTCCACCGAAATTTGTAACTGGAGGAGCTTCATCTTCAAACCCTGGTGCATCAGGAATATCCATATCCTTCTCCGTCACTTTCATCGTCTCTAGATTCGCCTCGCTGAAGAAATCATTCATAGGCTTGGATACCTAAACAACAAACAAAAAAATGGAATAAACAAAACATACTCGGATGCAGAAAGGTTCTTACCTTAACACAAGAAAAGAAGAGAAAAAGTTTTACCTTAAATAATCGGTTTCTCTTCTCAGCACTTTCCACAAGGTTTTTCCAAAGCGGATCACTCTTTAATGTTGCAGCTGAACCAACAACCTGAGTGCAAGTTTCAATGGAGAAGGGATCAGTGAGAGATACAACAAAGAAAGAAGGTATAAATAAGCAGTAATGTCAGTGAAGCTTCTATGAATTTTTATGCATGTCTTATTGTCTTTACCAAAACAGAAGATTTAGCTCGTGTAATCCCAACATTCATCCGCCGAGAATTAGAGAGAAAACCAATTCCTCCTGCATCGTTAGCTCTAACGCATGAGAAAATAGCCACATCCTTCTCTCTTCCCTTTTCACAATGTTAAGAAAAAACAAAAAAAAACAAAGACAAATGATGAGTTCTTGCCTTCATGAAATGTGAGAAAAGAGAGTAAGAATATTGACCTGGAACCCATCGACAGTGTTGATATCGACCATTTCCTCAGCCTCTTTACCAAACATCTGCGTAAACCTATCTTCGAAAGTTTTTACTTGGTAGCGATAAGGCGATATAATAGCTAGCTGAGAACTTGATTTGAGCTCCGGGTACATGGTTACGAGTTTGTGGTAGATGAGAAGAACAAACTCCACCTCGTCAACATTAACCTTAGAGCCAGTTGCTCCTGGATGTTCTGACTCTTTCCCTTCATGTATATCAAAAAAGCAAAACGGACCAAAGCAACGGTATTTATGCCAGTCACGAGTCGTCTGGGCCTCAATGTCAGCTCCATCTTCCAGTGCCTCTTCATAGAATGCCTTTGACGGAAAGCTTCTTATCTAAATTTTCAGACAAAACAGAAGCTATCCACTAAGGATGAATCTGATAAAAAAAATCAGATATTCAGTGAGAATCTATATTAAGGGGGATGCTAGATACCTCTGGATGCATCCGGTATTGGGTTTTCAACATGTTTACCGGATAGCCAGCCTTTTGAAGTCTCTCGAACATGCTTGTACCGTAGCTTCATTAACGAAGGGAAAGACAACCATTCAATAATGCCAATCCAAGGACACATAAACAGAGGAATTTTGGACGTTATGAGTAGTTTACGGTACTTACCCAGAATCCTGAGCAACAGTTGAGATTACAGTAGCTGCGAGTTGTTTTGGATCCCCTACCTGATAAAACAATGTAATTTTAAGGTTTTCGAAAGATACTGAAGTTACCTGATCGTATAAATCATCAAGTCATAAACCATGTTTGTACAGTTTCAAGATACAACTTATATTCTTTTCTATCTGTTATATCTACGAGAGAAAAGAATACTGCAAAACTGAAACATGAAGGGCCATCTTATGGAATGTTACCAGAAATACTTGTTTGCACCTAGTGGCCAAGGGGATAAGAGTTGCCGGCTCAACCTGCGCAAGCACACAAGAGTAAATTTTATTAGCAATGAACTTAGAAGAAATATGTGCATTAACATTTGCTCTAGCTGCTTGACTTAAGTAGCAAACAACAAATACAATTGAGATATCCATCAGTCTTTTACTAGGAAACGAGCAAGAGTTAATACAAAATCCGGATACTTCAACATAAGGGAAAAGACATGAATCAACTCTAGTGACACGACATGACAATAGTCTCATGAACCTTAAGTTTCAAAAACAAAGCATCCTACTTTTATATCCATATTTAAAGATGAAACCATCAGACATTTTACAGTTCGCAATACATTTGAGTATTAGTCCAAGGACCAGGGGCTTACAGCTTGTGCAGCTTCATCTATGATAACGACATCGAAACCACGGGTCGATTTCGCGAGAAGTGGTGACCCACTGAAACTAAGAGTAGAAAACACCTGAAAGTGCAAAGAAACATAAATGAAAAATATAATCCATAAGTTACATGAATACGAGGGTTAATTCTCCATACAATTGCAGACTCGTCCAATATTGAAGTGCGGATGCTATCTGCATCAGTTCCTGTGGTTCCTTGTTTTGATTTATCAATGGCTGAACCAACCCTCTGTTTGACCTGCAATAGTGCGTTTCTCAGGAAAATGGTCAACCGAACTTGAAATTTCGTTGTTTGGTTCTATTAATATACATACCACAACTAACAAACCTATATTGATCCGATGATAGTTAGATTCTTTAAGTTTATCTTAAGCAACAAAACCTAACTTAAGACGAAGGGCAATCAAAGTGTAAATGCTACAAGATACATACCAGGTGATCCAGCGTTACTGACGTGATAGAGTGATGTGCATGGAGACCTATTCGTACAATTTTGGGTTTGTATGTCTGAGCGTTTTCATCACGAAGACCTGAAGGTGCAGAAACCATAACACATAAGACCAGTACCAACTTTTAAATAATGAGACAATGTCTTGGATAAAACACATACCCGAAGTCATGAGACGCAACACAATCTCATCAAGTGCAGAGTTTGATGGAGCACAGACAAGTACACGTATCCTGTACTTCCGGTTGGTGTTAACCACCTCCGGTTTCTGAACACAAAAAATAATAATATGAGCACACGCTTATTAGTTATTACAATGTGTCTCAGAATAGCTCTTCCGACTGACCATCTCATTTCCTGAGGTCGGAAAAAAACCATCGTCACCATCTTCAGGCATGATATCATCTCGTGGGTTGACACCCAAAATCCAAGGAGAAGCTAATGCCCAGTGATTGTATCTGCAGACAATAGGGTTACTGAGATAAGTTCAAGAGGGATGAATGTTAAAACAGATGTTAAAAGAGAGGAAAAACATACTTATCCTCAATGGTCATCTGAACTCGACGCTTTCGCTCATGCTCCCTATTATGAAAAGAAAACGTTAATATCCACAAAAATGAGAAGCATAGCTATAATATGTGGAACCTAAATCAGAACTATAAAAAGTTATGGCACGTAAAAAAATCATACTTAGACTGAAATCGTGCTGGAGTTGCATGCATAATGGCACCAAGAATGCTAAGAATTGTCTGAGTTTTCCCAGTTCCTGGAGGACCCTAAAGAAGGATCGAGTCATTAATATTCAAATCAGACTTTAAACTAGTTCATACAATTTGAAATGCAACTCTGATATATCCCTGTTGACTCCTACTCATCTACATTCCTTATAATAGCAATCTTGACAGTCTAAGAGAAAGACATTGAGTGCTAAATCATGTAAATTTCTGGAATTTGCATTCACACAGATTGTGTGTTCGACAACTGATAGCTCAGTAAATAAGTATGAGATCTTAACATGAAACGGCTAAGTACACAGGATGAATGAAGAAGTCAACCTGTATCAAGACAAAGGATCTTCTTGATAGACCAACCTGAAAAAATATTTGAGGCAAAGAACATAAATTTGTGTTAAGGAACTCTGTAAAGGAAAAGAAGCTACAAAGCGAGACTTACATCAATTGCCTCCTTCTGAGATTTATTAAGATTTTCGGTAAAATATTCCTGCAGAGGTCCAGATATTTTCCACGGATCATCTCCAGAACCACAAGATTTATCTGCTGCAGTAAAGATTGAATCCTTGAAAGGAAGAGAACTGATAGATCGTAGTGCTACATATTCCCGAATAATGGTTGATAAACTACATAACTGCAAAATAAAAACAATCCAGCAAGCTTAAAATTAAAAAATCAGATTCTAACTAGTGTTAGAGAAGAGAAAACAGAAGCGAAGCTAGCACGGCACAGCACAACAGGGACCTAAGCATAACTGAGGCATATTATTCAATTAGACAAGGTTGCTGGTGTCATAACAACTGACCTTTACACTGAACACAAATTTTTTTTCGAGGGCGGCAGATGATGTAATATGAGAGCGCATATTTGAGAGAGATTGGATAAACTGCTTTGTTCTAGAGGATCTAGTATTTTTGGTTATCTGCACCACATCTTCAGCTAAATACATCCGAAGACGAAGTTGATTACTCAGAAGGTTTTCCACTATAGCAAACCCATAAGAAGAAGGAAACGAACTCTTTTCAACCTGAAAAAAAAAGGTTAGCCTCTAACTGAATCCAACATTTCACAAATGGCTTTCAAACAAACATTCAGCTAAAGAAGACAATATGAAGGAAAGAGATAATCAAGCGATAAACCTTTTCTTTTGATAGCAATAAGAGATCATTCGGACCAAACTTCTCGCCCTTATTGTGTTCGTGACTGACTAGCAGAGTGTGAAACCCGTCAGCCTCGCTGCACTCCATTACCAATCTCATTACAGGCGCCGATGCTAAGAGGGAAAGACAGATACGTCAATTCCACAAACAAAACCCCAACTATGTTAAGAAAACTAAGTTCTAACATCTTAATAACTCAAAAAAAAAAAAAACAGCCACTTTCTTTCATGAACAATGGATAGTAACAAGAAGAGAAAAAACAAAAGTTTGAAGGATCTAAACCTCCTTCTTCTTCAGAATCTTGATCCCGGGAGATTTGAGATTTAACTTCTTCTAAGAGAAGTGGCTCAAAGGTCTCATAATAATCATCAACATCTTTATAAGTATTCTTCACGACACTCAACTTGGATTTAGTAACCTTCTTGTTCTTCCTCTGTATTATTACATAAAAAGATAGAGTTTTTTAAAAAAAATAAAAAATAAAAAAGACAATGAAACGGAGTTGTTGTTGTGTAATGATAATAAAGCTTACAGCATCTTCATTTATAAGCTGTTTATAGTCCCAACCCAGAATAATCTTATGGAAACGAGCAACAGCTGATGCTTCTACTTCTTCTTGGAGCTTCCCATTGTCAATAATAGCCATTACAACAACACTAATCCTTCTTTCTCTGCTCCACCGCTAGATTCTCTACATGAACAAATAAAAAAAGAAGTTGAAATCTGAGGGAGAATGTTATTAATAAAAAAAAACAGACTTTGGACACTGTATATGCCTGTTTTAAGTGTTACAGAGAGAGAGAACGCACAAAGCCGGAGAGTTAGGGAGAGGTCGTGGACAGCTGGCGGCGAAGATTTCGCCTTCGTTTAGATTGACTGATGGTTTAAAGGAGAAGCCCTGGTGTCGTATGGTGGCGGCACCTTCCCTTCCTTTTTCTTTTCTTCTAGCTCTCTCCCTGCGTCTCTCTCTCTATGGTTTTGTTTTTGTTAACCGCTCCCGGTTTAGTGATGATTGAACTATTTTTTCTTTTTTTTTTAGTATCTTTTTGTGAATTTCCATAAGCTTATAAAAAAAATTATCACAAATATAATTCCAAAGATCAAAATATTTTATTAGAATAAGAATTATACATTTATATTCTTATGATTAATTAATCTGTATTTAAGGTTTAGAGTGTGGCGTTTTGGGGTGTTAGGTTTAATTTCTTTAGAATAAATATAAACATTTCAAAACAAGATATATAAAAATAGTTTAAACAGACATTTTGAATTTTAAAAAAAAATAAAACTTGAAAAAAGCTATAAAAAGTTTTGAATTCAGAAACTACTATTTTCATTTTTTATTTTTTATTTTTTATTTTTTATTTTATTTATACTAGGAAACCACCTCGCGCGTAAACGCGCGAGAGAAAATATGTTTTTTTAAAAGTAATTTTTATATAATATTTGTTAGTCAATCATTTTGAATCATTTAATAAACTAATTATTTTGTACGAAAATCAATACTTAAAAAATAATCTTAGATAATAGAAGAGTGAAAGTATAATTTATGTTTGAAAATGTATAAATTTAAATGTTATGCGTTTAGCATAACAATATTAAGTAAACTTNTTTAATATTAAAGTTGCAGTCATTTTCTTTTATCTTTTTATATATGAGAAGACAAACTTTTAAAATTTGTTGAAATGATGGAACAGTTTAAACCTTTTAATTAAATAATATAATATGTTTTAAAACACTGTAATTAACATGCAAAGAACGACATTTTTAAATCTATGACGCTCAGTACCTCCATACAAACTGGTTTAGAGAAACAAAAAAAAATGGACTTTATCAGAAGAAGAATAAGAGATTACAAAAAAAAAAATAGGTTGTTTTCTTACAGCCAGATTGGTTTGGATATGGTAGTTTAGTTTCGCTGAAACTAAACCTATTAAATTATTTTTGCAGACACCACATTAAATTTTTAAAGATCGTTTAAAATTATATAATGAATCAAACATTATATTCAAGAGTACTAAGAATCATACCTATATTAGAAAAAAACACATAAACTTTCTCAAAAAATTGCATCTGTAAAACATTCTATTTATAGTAATCTGAAAAAGTACACTGATAGATTATCAAGAGTTGTGTTTTGTTTTAAAATGAATATTTTCAAGAGTTGCGAGGAAAAAAAGTTCAATCAAATACATTTTCAAGACCATTAGATAGAACCATAATAATTACAACCACGAGACTGAAACTCTTCAAAAAAAAATTAAAAAGTCAAGAATTAGGGAAAAGTATGACTCTTCAAATTAAAGAGATGTGTTGTTTGAAAAAAAAATAACTGCTCATAGCAATTTTAATTTAAGTATAAAAAAATTATTAAGACCAATAGAAGAAAAAAAGAATTATAACCAAAGATTGTAATCCTTCAAATATGAAAAAGTATGACTCTTTCATGTAAAAAGATGTGTTGTTTGAAAAAAAAATATGTTAATGCCATAAATATCGTATGTCTAAAAACATTTCTTAGGACAATTGCATGAAAAACAAAACAATGGTTGAAAAATTGTATCTTTTTTTCATAATAAACTGAAATATATTAGTTTAAAAGTTGCATCTTTCATTATAAAAATAATTGTGTATTTTCAAAAAAAAAAAAAGTTGTTGAAAGGTTATATCTTTTCATAAGAACCGAATTATATTAGTTTAAAAGTTGCATATTTTATTATAAATAGAATTTTCTAGTTTCATAAAAAGTTATCTATTATTCTAAAAGTTTCATCTTTTCACTATTAAAAAAAGTTTATGTTTCAGATAAAATAGTTTAAAAGTATTTAAAAGAGGGTATAAGAATTGTGACTTCTCAAAATAACAATTGTTGAAAGGTTGTATCTTTTCATAAAAAAAACTTAAATATATTAGTTTAAACATTGCATCTT